TAATTAGTATAGTGAAATTATAAATTTAGTTTAAGAATTTTAAGGAAATTAAACCAATGTGACGTATTTAAGGAAGAAACGGGCTACCTAACTTCCAAATACAAAAGACTTAAGACACGAACTTGTTACAAGATAAATTGCCATGCACTATTACTATTTTCCCATATTAACCAATGAGGACTATCAATTTAGTGGCATAAACAATTTCCTCAAAGCAAATAATTACAATAATAATTACAAATATGTTCAACTTTAAGTGATTGCACAACTTTCTCACTGACCTTATTAAAGCACAGTAAGCAACAATGTATTTTTCTTAACTTGAAATTTAAAGAAATCAAATTTTAGCAGCTTTTCACTCAAACAGCGGAAAGTGTAGCAAAATGACTTTAATTTCCTTGCAATTTATAACAGACAATTCAATTTTTTGCACCAATTACATAACCGTATAACCGTAAACATACAAATTGAGTGCCATAATTTAGTGAAAGAATGAAGTGGTGMAAACGCACAATTTCCATACAATTTCTCATTCAGAAACAATTTTGAAAATTAAATTTGTATACGATGGAGTTAGTAAAATTTTATACATACTGATTTTTTTAAATTAAAGTTATAATATTTAATCTTATTTTTTAATATTAAATTAATAACAATTAATAATGTTATATGATTAGTTTGCCTTTCCTTTTCTAACTGCTATTATCCATCCAAATTTTAATATGCCATCACAARTAAAATTATATTCACATTTGTGAAACGCAAAGTTTTTTTTGCATTCCGCAATGTGTGAAAGGTCATATTTTATTGCAATAAATAATAAGCTTTGCATTGYGTGCTATGGCTATTGTCTACTAAAAACGCTTTCTAAACAACACCATAGTTTAAATTTTTGCGTAGTTCGTTGAAATTTAAATTTTCTATATTATATACAGATTAGGATGCTTCAAACWAATTTTTTTGAATTGTTTTTTTCAACTCTTACCCCCTCAAATGTTAGTAATTGACAAACAAAAAATCCTCCATCAAGCCAGGCGCTGTAGGTTAACTCTAAGGTGTTGCTATTTTTTTAGGTTCCCATACATTTAACATAGCAATTTTCGTTTTTTCATTTAAAATAAAATTTCACCAACTAATTTTCGTTTCTCAAAAATAAACATCACATATTCATAACGTTGGCTTTTCAAACTTTAAAAATTTTCGCGACATGTAATTCCGACACAAATGATCTTTCAAAAAAAAGAAAAATAAAAATATTTAGTAATATAAAAAATTAACATTCAAGTTCAATATTTTTCGTTTATAAAATATTCTTCAAAGAGAGTTCAAAATATATATTATATTTTGTTTATCTAATTAAAGCTTAAATTAATGAAAACACGTTTTAAACATTATTATAAATGAATAATTAATTTAGAAATTTTTTAAGAACTGCGAAATATTTTGAAATATACACTCTGTCAAAAAAGTATCGAGAATTTATAAATAAAACGCAAATTGTTCAATCATCATCCAAATTTATTTTATCGCCTTCAAAATAACATCCATTTGAAACGATGCGCATGTGCCAACGCTTCTTCCAATCGTCAAAACATGTCTTCCATATTTGCCGGAGATGAGAAGGGAAAATGAAGAATTCCCGATACTTTTTGCCAGGGTGTATGTGTAGTAATATGTATAATTACTTATTTATATAATATATATTCACAATAAAAATTTAATTGTCTAAGCATTCATTCTTCGTATTYCGTGTATTCCAAGCAGATAGCTGCATAAACATTAGCTTCATGGACACCTATACATTATACATACAATGTTTATAACAAGCACGTGTACAAGCACATATTTAACTAGWGAACAACGTTCGTCGGAAGCCCAGTTATCCGTCTAAGCCGCCTACACACCGCCTTACCACTGGGTCTGTGTCTGCGCGCGCCCTACGATTTGCACATATATTGTAAAAAAAATTGCAGTAGTGCCAGCTTTTTATACAAAATATATATATAAATGGAAATGGATAACTGGGCTTCCGACAAACGTTGTTCTCTAGTTAAATATGTGCTTGTACACGTGCTATATATTAAGTATATACATACAAGTATATATCAAATTTTAATCKAAAATGAAATTTATACCAATGCCTTGCACCGTAGAATACGATTACATTTCGTTTACTGTTGGCTGTTTTTTAACTAAATACATATGCTTTATTTTTACGGCTGTCATGCTTGCATTACTAATATTTTTTACTGCCATTGTTTGTGCAATAATATTATGACTCATTAAGTGACAYAAACAAAATAACCTATTTATGCAATTCACACAAAGAAATAGCAATAAATGAAAACAAAATATATTTTTGAAAAATATCTTATAAATTTTCAAATAAAAATTATTACATATGTAGCAGTTTTTTGAAAAAATATTAAAAATAAATTTTTGAAAAATATTTAATGAATTTAGAAAAAAACCTATTTAAAGTAAATTTATGAGAAATATTTAAAATAAATTTTTAAAATAAAATATATGTTTTTGCTTCACATTTTCTTAAAGTTCCATAAAACTCATAAGTTTAGAAAAAATATGAGATTGAAGTTTTGAAAAATGTTTTTTTGTCTGTACGTTACCTTAAAAATACACAAAGCTTTAAAAAAGGAGGATTTTGAAAGTATTAAAAATAAAATTAGTTTACTGCAATTTTAAATAAAATAGTTATATATATATATAGTTTGGTATTTTTTTATTTCCTTTTTTCTTTGAATTTATCTAAATACTTAAGGGTTTCAACAAATATAACCACTTTTTATTGGCAATATATRGCACCACCTTTTTATTGCACCGTATATAAAAATGACCTTCAGATAATAGACAAATATTTAAATGTAATTAAGGTAAATATAATTAGCTGCTGATCAARTATACATATATCTGCATGCACTGAGAGGTTGGGTGATCACGTTTTTAATCACATAATGATTGCCACCTGCGCAGCTAACATTAGCCAGCAGTTATTCGCTGCTTCTGTGCGCTGAGAACAAATAATCGATTGTAATCCAATTTGTGCTCATGTTTTTGCAAAAAAAAAAAAAAATATAATGCTTAACGATGATTATTATAAAAAGAGAATAATTTTTAATTCCATATATAACATTTCAAAGCTGTTGGCTATTTAGAATTTAATGATGAATTGGGTGTTATGTGTGCATTTGGAATTTTTCGAAAACGAATGGCTGACAAAGAATTTATTTTAAAATTATTTTTTAAAAATGTGTGCTGATAATAAAATCAAAAATTTATTTATTTTTATTTTTATATTACTTCTGTATGACAAATGACATATGAAAATTTTAATTTTTGTTATTTGAAAGATTTAATTAAATAAATGTATGGAAATAAAAAATAAGCAGGGTAGATTATTTTTAGGTGCGCATATTTTTTGAGTATAAATCTCTTATACACATCTAGATGTGTATAAGAGACAGGCCTTAAGAGCTTACTTAAATTAATAGGGCTTTAATTTTTTTAATTTAAAAAACATTTTCAATTAATTAATTAATTTTTTTTTTCTTTACAGTTAACCTTTAGAAATTATTAAGCATCAACATCATATATAAAATGTCACACAACATTAGAATTTTATTGGCGATCATCGCTTCAATTGTCACAATATGCTCATCACTGCCAGATGTAAGTAAACAAAGTATATATACTAAATATTTTCTCAGTGGGGAAAAATACTCTGATGTTGCGTCGCAAACAAAAATATATTACGAACGTGGGAGCTTGCTTAATAACAGAGAAATTTCGTTGATAAGTTTAAATTTATTATGCAGTCGTGAAAGCTTTGTACTAGCTTTAGTACAAGTGCAACATTTTTCTTTTATAATGATTCTCTGGAAAGATATGTAAACACATATTTCTAGCTATCAGTTATAAGAGGTATTTCGCAGTCTATATATGTATGTATAATAGTTGAAAAAGATATATCTCGTACATAGCATGGTACGCAAGAGCTTTCATGCAAAAGCTTTGAAAGTAGTACTTAAACATTTTTTTTTTCAAGAATTCAGGAGCTGCTTTATTTTAAAGTAAATTGGTGAAAGCAGCCAACTTGTATAGTAAGGTATCCGAGAGCTTTCTATCTCAGGTTACAATAAGCAAAAACTTTTTTCCCAATAAAATTTCAAGAAAAGAAGTCAATGAAAGCTTTTACATTACAGTAATAATGAAAGCCATGTGAAAGCTTTATTTTAATTGTTGGAACTAATCAACTGGTATTTTACTTACTTTAAAATTCTTATTAATTGCTCTATGGTTATTATAAATTATACAAAAAAATTRTGCAATAAAATATTGTGACTTCGATAGGAATCGGTTGAAATAGTTAAATGATCGATATGGAGATCTAAAAATTCTCAAAAGCTCCTAGATGCTCTGAGGTTGTTTATAAGTTCAATCACTGGGCATACACTTCCTATAAACACAGCCAACAATTGGGTGGATATTGGCCTAACTTAACTTTTCTTAAGCTGACGTTTCGCAAAAGCTTAAGCTGCAGCTTTTCTGAGTATAAATATCAGCCAGTGGTTATTGTGATAATCATTGAAATGTTACTACACTAAATATACTATGGCTGTAAGACCTTGAAATATCGAACCCCTTGATAAAACTAATATTTTATTATTAACTAATATTTAAACATAATTCGTAGAGCATCCGTCAACTCTGAATCTAATATTCAAACATTTCTCGCATAAATTTAAAAGTTTTCTATTTCTGATCATCTGTCCATTAAATTAATCGCATGGCATACAGCTGCCTTCAAACTAACCACACTTACATAGTTACATGCACTTCTGGCTACGCCTGCTGTGTCATTAACAGTCAGCAGAGGGGTTTGAATACTAATTATRAGACCAAAGAAACAAACAACAACAACACTAACAAAAAACAATAGACTTTAGTCACAAACGTGCAGCAAAGCAATGCCAATAGAGACGTGCCGCCGAGAGGGATAATAATATGCAAATTAGCACAAATCATAGAAAAAAAAATATCGCATGCGAGAAATATATAAAAAAGTTGCGGCAGTAAAGAATGCATGCTTTTCTAAGCAAAAAACAACACAATAAATAATCTATTAAAAGAAGTGATAGTCATTAGCCAGAGRAAAACCAGAAAATCGACGGACAATTAAATTACTTGCAGAAGGGCGTCACCAGCCAAAAAAWCAACAACTAATATTGAGAATGCACAAGCGATGGCTTTAAAGCAGACAAGCGCACGTACTTTGTTCGAAACTTTGTTACTTTTGTGCTTAGAAGGTCGCCAGTGGACACGATTACTTTTTACAAATATAGAAATAGGCATATMAATTATGCATAATAGCATTTGTGAGTGGTTTTTTAATTTTGTAGTATTTTTAATTTTTTCCTTCGCGGCTTATGCGTTTACATGCCTTGTAGTAGCTGTAGCCGGCGTCTGCTCGTACAAACAACATTATAGTCAACTTGAACCACCAAACTGCATGCAATAAACATAGCACGGCATACAAAAGAATAGCATAGAAGTACAGAGCACCGTATAGAAACCCATAGAACTACATATAAATATATATAAATATAATCTGTATATAGCTGCATAATCTGAGTTAGGTTACACTTCAAGTAGTCAATTGTCTGCCAAGTTATACAATTGCATTCAAATGGGCGTTTAGTTGCTCAGATAAAGTAAATATGCTGTCTCTTCGGTTGATATATTTCTCAATGAAATAAACATGAAGAAGTTTTCTTTTTATTTTTATTTTTTTGTATAAATTTGCTACCTATTTTATTGATTTTTATACAATTCTTGCTTGCTCAAGCGCTTTTCAGSGTCTGCAAACCATCAAAAGCTGAAAAATATATGAACAATTAATCGGTTTTTGATTGAATTTATTTATTTATAGTAGACTTCTGCACGAACTGCAATAAATGAACTCTTGTTTATTGCCTGCATATTTTCATATTAAAATGAAGTTTGACCTATTGCATTAATTACGGTATCTCATTTTGATGCCCTCAAAAGAAATATGGACAAGGTCGCTTGACATTATTTGCGGCCAAGAAGTTTTACTTCGTTGTGAGTGCACATGTGATTAATATTTCCAGTTTACAAAAGACAAAAAAAAAAAAAAATGTTAGAGATGCTTGAATCTTTTATTTAGTTTTAATAAAACATTTAATTACGATTTTTTTAACTATGGCAACCCTTAGAAGGGCAACTTGTTTACGGTATTAATATTATTAAAGTAGAACTTGATTCCTATGCATTTTTAATACTTAAAGTGTCTTATTTGAAAGTTTTTTATTTGATTATGAAAATATGTATATGTATTTGTTCAAGAACCTCATTTTTTTTTAAAGACAATCAAAACTAATTGTATGTGGGAATCTTTTAATAAATATTGCTTGCTTTGTTGCCGGACTGACTATCTGACTCTATATTTGTATAACTAAAATATATCAAATATTTAAATTGATCATCGGAGATATGTGGCAACTCTATTAAAAACACTTTGCTGAAATTTCTAAACCATAATTCCAAAACTAGATATTRTAACAACAGATTTTTTGAATTTTACATGACTTTTGATYATTAATTWTTATAGATGGCAACCCTGTAACATAATGCGTTATAATATGATAATAATCTTTAACAAATGATGAAAGTTCCGACWATATTAGCAATTAATCAATTCCATAATTGTCGAAATATCGAAATATAACATTGGGAGCCCACATTAAAACAACCAGCTTTATTATTAAATTCTTATTATCAAWGTTTTATTATAAATTGCAATGCGAAAAATTGTGATAATTCTAAATTTCACATATATTTGTTCCTTACATTCGTTATCAATATTCAGGCTCTATCCATAGAGTTAATTTAAATTAAATACTAATTTAAGAAATACCGTGCAATAGTCGCTACTAAAAGTACGAATAAAACTGGCAGTAACAATGGCTTTAAATAATTTCGACTTACAACTGTATTTCTGGGAAATACACAACAACACCTCTGTGAACGCGCATACTCGTGTGCATAATCGTTTCTAGCTGCCTGTGTTAAATTAAAAGCTCACGCAAAATTACACAACTCATCCTTCCCGCGCTTGGCCTCAGCCCGTGACCACAGTTGAGGGTCAAAGTCAAGTTGCCACATCCAACTGAAATTAACACAGCGAACTTTACACATAGAAATATGTAATTTTTTGTACTCGTGTGTGTGCGTATTAAAAAATAGTTGTGCATACAYAATTAGCTGGCAATTAGGCACAAAAAAGCGAAAGAAAAACTAAAAAGCGCTGAGTACAAAGAAAAGTACATAGCATGCTTATACTTGTATTTTAGGTGTAAAGTTTTTTGTAATTTTTGTGGTAAACCTGTAGKGCATACTATTATGGGCGAAAAATAGTAGGGATTTGTTCACAATCTTAAAATACTTAATTTATTCTTCAAAATCTATATCGTCCCCTCAAAATAAGTCCCTATGCCCCCTTGACCACAATACACTTGAGCCAGTGTTTTTTCTACTCCTCGAAATTCCTATTTACTRTTTTCAGTTTACTCAAAACAGTTTCCCCGTAGCGGTCGTTTGAGTTTGCTCAATAGCCAGAAGTCACACGGAGCTAAATTAGGCGAATACGGCGGTTGCGGCACGATATTAGTTGAAAATTTGGCGAAAAGCTCTCGAAGAATCAATTRAGTATGCGACGGTGCATTATCGTGGTGCAAAAACCAAGAGTTGTCGGCCCATAACTACGGCCTATTTTACGAATAGCTWCGCGCAAATGACGCATAATACTCAAATAGTATTCTTTCTTTCAGTTTGATCGTTAGGAAGGACRCTTATAAATTGTATTAACAAGTTGACTTTACTGAAACAAATGTTGGCGATTGTGTCAATGTTGAATTAATATATTGAACAAGATAGACATACCAATATCGGAAAGGTGATCAGCAAATAAGAAGAATTGTTCAAGAAAAAATTAAACTTAACTCAACTTATTCGAATGTTCTTTGCATGCGGAGTTCACATAGTTTTAATTACGGCTAAAGTATATCTGAACTTAAAAGGTTTAAAGAAACCTCTGCCGAGTGTTTGCTGAAATTTTACCCTAAAAATATAAGATTTATTATATTTTCGCAGCTTTTCAAACTAACCTCCTGTACAATGTTTTAGCAAATAAGGCTGAAACTTTGAAACTAGTTTATATCTTTATAATTTGTTAAAAGCGCCTAGTATGGACATTTCTTAYATTGACATTGTGTTAATAATGTTTTTATAATGGCTTTTTCCTTAAGTATTTGATAGTAAGGCACTAAAAGATAAATTGCCACTTTTGTTATAACATGCTTAATATTTTGTGGAAACTTTCTCGTAGTAAAAAGTRTACAGGGTGACATTATTTTGTATTGGTACAAAGCTTACTAAACACTTGTAAGGCTAATAAATAATCCGTTTTTATAGATAAAAGATGATACAAAAGTTATAATTAAATTTAAAAAATTTAATTTAAAAATTTAATTTTAAAGAAACTTTTAGTTTCTTATTATTATTTACTTTTAACAAAAAATACGGATTTAAACTATGTATACAACCTTCCTAACATTCTCATTTATAATAATAATTTATAATCAAACAAT